ATGTAGATGTGCTTAAGCATCTTTATTTTCATGGATGAGCTATTGGGAGAGGTTTGATCCTGCTCCCATGGTACAGAAGGAAGGGTTGAGAGAGAGTGGGAGGGAAATGTGTATTAATGTTTCTCTTTGGCTTTTTGAATGCTTGGAAATGAGATGGTCTGGGCATTCTTTCTTCTTCTTCTTTTTGGTACTGGGGATTGAACTCTGGGATGCTCCATCAATGAGTTATATCAGCCATTTTTACTTTGAGAGAGGGTCTCTCTAACTTGTGATCCTCCTGCCTCAGCCTTCTGAGTCACTGGGATTATAGATGTGTGCCTCTGGAAGTTGGTCTTGAGAATCAGTAATTTGCTTAGCAACATGTACCCCTGGGAGAAAGAAAGTCTGCATGAAATAAAGAATGAACGGGAGTGGAAGACTTGGGATCAAGTTCATTTACTTGCAATGGTGTCTCACGCAAGTCAGCCATTCTCAGCCTTAAGTTTCCTGATCTGGGGAAAAKCATGTTTGTTTCTGGGTTTTATAGCAAAGASAGGGCATTGCTACCTGCTTATCTAYCCTGTCTCCTTTCCTTGTGAGCATCCAGGCTCCCTTGGAGTTAGGGAGGCATGTGACTAATTCTGACCACTCGACGTCAATGGAATTGATGTTTGTGTCCAGGGTCTCCCTGATGGAAACCTCCCCTGAGCCCTCTATGTTGTCTCTTTGCCTCTCTGAGCACTGCAAGTGAAGGCCTTGGAGGCCCCAGGGAATGGCAATGCCACGCCATGAAAGGGGCCTGGATCCCCGATGTCTACATAAGGCAGGTTCTCTTCCTTTCTGCCTACCTGTATTGCACTATGATGAGATCAAGAAACACTGTAATTTTGTTAAGCCACTCACATTTTGGAGTCATTCTTTATAGCATTTAACCTACTTTGACAGAGTTTAAATGGATAAAAGTTTTTCAGAGACTTCCAAGTGCTGTACTAATGTGGCTGGTTATTATTATGGCTTTGATTCCAGAAAAATCTATTTTGAGTGCACAGCTGGGGAATTTTTTCCAGGTTTTATATAGTTCCTGTATCTTCTCAAGGGTGGAGAGGGAATGAGGAGAGCCCTTGGAAAATATGTCATGGTCTAACTATGCAGAGGAGTACACGACTGCRTTCCAGGGATAAGACTCCTCCAGGAAGGGGAGTCCTGATTGACGGTTCTATTCCTGTGGGGGAGAAGACCTGTCTCAGAATAGACCCTAGATGGCAGTATCCAGCACAGGGGGCAATTAGAATGCTTCTGAACACAGACTGTTTGAGTGCTGAGCACTCCAGGGTTAGAAAGGGGAGGTAAAATTGGATCAATTGTCACTTAGGCCCTGGGAGACCTTGTCCATCATGTGAACCACTCAGCTTTCTGAGTGGTTCCCTTCACACAGGGCTGCTCCCAGAGTTCAATCCCAGGTGACTTTTAACCTTGGTCTTTTGACCTGGCCCAGCAGAGGGCTGATAAAAGACATAAAACCCCCTCCAGATCCTCCAGATGTTGACTTAACCTAGCATCTGGGCAGGAAGTGGGGTGTAATGTGGATGGATCCAGACACCAGACATCAAGAGACTGCAGTCCTTAATCAGAAAGAAGAGGGAAGGAGAAAGATGATCACTTGTCATGGGTCATATACTTTATCTATATTAAATCCTTTAATTGTTACAACAAAGCTCTAATATAGGTATTGCCGCTGTTTCAGACAAAGAAACCGAGGCCTAGAGTAATAGAGTACCTTGCCAGGATCCCACGGCTATTACAGGCAGAATCAAAATCCTACTCTCTCTTCCTTAAGAGCCAGTGTCCTTGACACTGTCCCTTGTAGCTCACTCATTAGGATAGCCCCAGGTCAGGGCTGAGACAAGGGACCCCCTGGTTCAGCCCTGCTCAGTTCACTGGAAGGCCCATGGAGAAGCATTCATTCCTTCTTCTGAGTTTGGGGAAACTTTCTGTGAGCACATGAAGCCTAAGTCAATAGGTAGAGGCCATCAGAAAAAGGAGATGGAGAGAAGGAYAGGATAGGTGTTGGGGAGAAAGTGGAAATCAAAGAAAATTATGATGGAAGCAACATTGAAAGCCTTTCAGATGGGGTCAAGAGGCCATCAGGAAATGGGACTTAAGCATGTTTGCAGCTGTTGCCTGGAATGTAAACTTCTTTTTCTCTGTCCTTTGACTGCAGGCATCTGGAACTGTGGTGCCCAGAGGCTCAAGAAAGCACATCAAGAAGTTAATGGACTCTAGTTTTGTGGACATTTCCYGCCTGTTCATGCTTTCTTTTCTTTATTGACATCAGTCACACAACTCCTGATTCTTGTCAACATTCAGTTGTCCATAGAAGCCCCCACTTTTCCTGCTGCCCTTGGAACACTGATTCACAGTTATCTTGAACCCATCCTTCTGGAACTGTAATCCCTAAGACCCCGGGGAGAGTCCTTCTACTTCTGCAGTTGCTGAGTTTGGATTGATGGAAAAGGAAAGAGGATGTACCAAAGGGGAGAGGAAGAAAAGGAGAGGTAAAAAGCAGTAAAGTAAAGAAGGTAAAACATGGAAAGAATGGGGAGGGAGGAAGATGTTGCCTCCCCT